AAAACCAACAACTCCAGGACCAACTACTCCAGGCCCCTCTACTCCTAAACCAACAACTCCTGGACCAACAACACCTAAACCAACAACTCCAGGACCAACTACTCCAAAACCAACAACTCCTGGACCTACCACACCAAAACCAACAACTCCTGGACCAACTACACCCAAACCAACCACTCAGAGACCAACTACACCTAAACCAACGACTCCTCAACCAACAACACCTAAACCAACAACTGCTGGACCAACAACACCCAAGCCACCAAGTATGGCATGTTCTCAAAGTTTGGATTTGGTTTCCAATAATACTTAATTCATAATTCTTTCATTCTGTCTTCAATTCTTATTATATTATTATAATTTTCATCAACCAATTTCTTTTCTTTTTTCTGCACAGAACCATGTCCTCCTGATTCAGAGTATATAGACTGTGGTCCAGCTTGTTTCCCCACCTGTATGGAACCCTCCACCAACTGTTCTGGCTCTTGTATCAGTGGCTGTTTCTGCAAACCAGGGTTTGTCTTCAAGGGACGGCGCTGTGTGCCTCTGGAGAAATGTGGTTGTTTGGATGACCAGAATAACTATTATGAGGTTAGATTATGTCCTAGTTAATTTTCCCATACACATAAATTCCTGCTTATTACAAAGATATACTGCCAAGACAGTAAAGGACAAGGTTGTACTATGTAGTTATTGTGACATACAGTGAACCAGTATTGATCCATTGTTTAATTTTGTTTCAGCCTGGCGAGATTGTATTTGGTGATGGCTGCTCAAAGCTGTGTCGCTGTGTAGGGAACTACACTTTGGAATGTGTTGATAACTCCTGTGACACATCTGAAGAGTGTCGCAATGTCAATGGTGTTTCAGGCTGCTATCCTAAAGGTAAATTGTCAAGGAACTGGTACAGGAAATAGTACATTGTGTTGTCCATTCACATCTTAAACAGAAGTTTTAAGAACTGTTCATACGGCCACAGTCAGAGGCAGAAGGCATCATAGAGAGAGGTAAGACAGGATGATTGTTCAAATGTTGGATAAAGTTATGGTGCCATAAGAAGAAGAAGAATATATACTTTATTGATCCCCTAG